ACGGAGAGAGCATAATGAAAACAATGCGGGTAAATGTCAGTGCACTTAATCGAATCGATGCCCTCCTGTCGACGCCAGTAGGGTGATGGAAAAACAAGCCAAATGAGGTGATCAGTCTCATTTTCTTGTTGAAGCTCAACAGAGCCAATAAAACGGAAAAGTTAAACTAACCTGTAGTCCTCCTTGTCTAACTCGCTGCTACCAGTAATAAGAGGGCGCTCTAAGATAGCAAGTTCCCCGCATAGCTGTCCTCAGTAAGCTATTGGAAGAATCACACGATAATATTAGTTTTATTACGAATACTGACGAGAGAGAAGATAACGGTCCGGTTGTAGTATAAGGCGAAGTGGCTGAGGAGTTCGGATACAGACGACAGCGTGACGGGAAGATGGTGGGCCCAGAGGCGACAAGCGAAGACGTACGGGTCGAGAAGGCGTCGGCTCGGAGAGCGGTCGATGGAGGATCCTCTCTCGTCGTTCGGATGGTAGCCTTAAGTACGAAGCGTGAGATGAATCAGCGCTGCTGTGTCCTGGCCTTTGCCTCCCCACGCAAGCTGATGTGATTGGTTAACGGCTTCAGCCGAAGAAAAGGTTCTTGCGAGGAAAGAGCAAATGGCTAGGGCACTTCCCTTTCGAACTAATTACTTCTCGCTCATTCCCAAATAAGGTTACGTTCACACCACAAACTCTTACAATACTACTCGACCGCGTGGTCGCGTGATCGACAAGAGAATCTACTCCGCAAAAGTATCTACTCCCATCGAGTATCTACCTACAATGCAACGCAGTCGCAAAGTATGGCCGCAGTCCAACCTTTTTGCTAATGTTCCGATCACCACTTACGCGACTCTTGTATGGGATTCTCGCAGCCGAAGCGTGTATGAAATTCCTTTGGCGAGACGCCTAGAGCTCTAGACTCACGGGCTGCAACCAAAGCAGTTTGCGATTGTCCACGCATTTCGTTCTGGGCAGGCATGAGGGAAGAGGTATCAAGTTAGCTTGGGATTTATCCACCTCGGCGAAGGATTGAATGACCGCCCTGGTGGACCACAGCGTAGCGCCTACAGCAACCCCAATTTTCACGATGGGCTTGGTTAGAGTGGCCCAACTGACTTTAAGTCAGCACCCTACCGTTGACTTTAAGTCAGCACCCTACCGTACGCATTTTGCGTTCTCGCTGCGAAAAGACGTAAACTTTCACATTCCAGGTTTTGAGGCATGTCAAGTCTTCGCCTCATTCCCCCTCCTCCCAACACTTACATCGGCTACACCCCCTTCTAGGGTCACAGATTCGGTGTGTCGGTTTCAACCAAGGACGGAAACCTCCGCTGATAATCAAGTGGACCCGAGTTTTCCCGCCGCGAAAAAGTGAAAAGTCGCTTTGCTGTCCTACGTGGCCGATGTCAGACTTTCGCGATTGGAGCGATTGTGCACCAATTGCAGGAGCGACGGGAGATTTACACCGCCGACCACCGATACACACGGCGCCGCTCGGGTAAATCTCCCGTCGTCGCTCCTGCAATTGGTGCAAAATCGCTCCAATCGCAAAGTCTGACATCGGCCAGTGAACCACACTCGCAGTTCGGCGCCTACGCTTCATGGCGCGTCCGAACAAACGGCCATGCCACTGCATGGTTTTCGATTTTTTTAGAAAGTTTTCGAATCTGGCGCAAAATCAGAGCGCTTCGTTTATCGCTAGTGCGTCCTATTCATCTAAAAGTACTCGCACAGCTCAGAATTTACCAAGGTGAAATTGTATCATCAAAGACATCTTCACAGCCTTGAACGCTTCCGATGAGCGGGCATGGTCGAACAACAAGAGGTTGTTCCTTCTTCACAGTTTGACAACAGTAATGCCATTCTTGCGATAAGCTACAGGTTAGTTCCTTGAATAAGTAACTTTTGAATCGCAAACAAATCCATTTGTGTGTAAGGCATTGTTCATAGCTTGCGCCACGAGAGGAGGACGCTCGAACCGAACGAATCTGCGCAAATGCGAAATGAATGAAGTGCGTATCGGCGAATCCTCTTGAAAGGAATTAGTGTCTATCGATCAGTCAATCGGAGATCGCAGCATCGAAACGGCGGTGCGAAAATCCTCTAGCAACGCTAATAGGGCGTGGTTTACTACGTCGATACGTATCTAAACCTTTTCGCATCCGCGTTCGCGCGTGCGCGGATTCACCTGGTCGATACGTATCTTTTTCTTTTCGCAGATTCGAATATTCCGATGGTTCCAAAACTATGAACAATGCCTAAGACAGAAAATTGAGTTTTGTTTATCTGTTGAGCTGGTGTCAGAGTCCGCGATCCGTCGCAGGTTTCGCTGATTTTCGCGATTTGCGCGATTTTAGCGATTGGGCGATTTGCGCGAAACCTGCGCCCAATCGCTAAAATCGCGCAAATCGCGAAAATCAGCGAAACCTGCGACGGATCGCGGACTCTGACACCAGCCTAAGGGACTTACAATGGAGTAGTTTTCGGTGCACATTTGCTAGACGTTTAGTGCAGGCTATCTTGGAGCCGCAATCTACGATCAAGCTCACACTGCTATCAAACTGCTTCGTGATGTCGGTGAAGATCACGAATTTCGCCTATTGGCAGCTTGTATGTATCATAGTACCCCACCGTTGCTTTTTGGTCTAAAAGTAACTCTAATTTCAGTGCTGGAACAAGAAGAACCAACTACTGTTCTTTCTAACAAAGCACAAGATGTTCGACTGGTGTCTTTCATTTGCATTTATTGTATGTCGACTTTTCTGTAATTCAACAACTGTTCTTTATACATGTTCAGTGGCTTGATTTAGGTGGGCAAGATTCACCTCCAGAAGATGTTTACGTTGAAAATTCGAGTGATCTGGAAGGGACGGGTGTTACGCAGTCCTCCGACTCATTAGCCGACACTGGAGAAATTTCCTCGAAATCGGACGACTTAGTTGTCCGATCAGTGACTGCTGAAAGTGGAAACGAAGAAGCGAAAGAAGTGGAGGAAGAAAGCGAAAAATCTGGCGAAAGGGACGAGGTTTCTGATGACGAAGACGCGGACTTGGACCCTAAACCTCCTACGCTGATATTTCTTCCGAATAACGCTTATAGTAAGTTATTCTTGGTACGAGCTTTTTAGAACATTATCGCCAGCCTTCGCAACTGGACATCAGATATAGAAAAGCTCGAGAGACATTTTGGATGTGTAATATAACGGGGTTTTTTTTCCAAACTGGTGTCAAGTTTATGCCGTTTGTAGACGTTTGATGTTCCGATTTCATGGTTTTCGGTAGAGTATGGGGAGTAATTTTGTGCCATAATAGGCCGATGTCAGACTTAGCGAATCGAGCGATTCGCTACTAGAGATTCGCTAGCGTCTGCAGTCGCGCGCAGCGGCACACCAGGGGCGGTATTCAATCCTTCCCCCAGGGGTTGGGGGACGGAAATCCCTTTAAATTTATTTGTTTTTAACGATGTAGTTTCTTCATTTTCAATGCATGCTTACTGTGACATACATACATACATTAAACCTAGGCCCTTTATCAGGACAATCCCAGTTGGGAAGACAGAGAAAATTTAAAGGGATTTTCGTCCCCCAACCCCTAGGGGATTGAATACCCGCCCCAGCCATTCGAGTCAACTCACGGCCGCGCCGCGACCGCGCACGCTAGCTAATCGCTCGGCTCGCAAAGTCTGACAGCGGCCATAAGGCACGCCTAATTTTCGACTAATGTGAAGTTGAACTGTAAACAAATGGCCCACCATACTATTTGATTTTGAAGCTGGTTCTATAGTGCTGCTCTTTGAGTATCTAGGAGGGAAAAGTGCAATTTTTCGCACACACTTTTCATGTGTTTCTCTGTTTTGTTTCAGCTTTTTTCATGTGTTCCTTGTGTGGTTTATTAATTATTTCAGATTATGAGTCAGGCTTCAGACGCATTTCGGAATTATTTGCCGAGGAGTGCTTCACCGAGTCTGAGAATCAATTGGTTACAAGATTTCGGATCGATATAACATCAAGAAATATGGTAAAGTGTTTCTAATTGAGCACATTAACCCTGGCTAAGCAAGGGTCTCAGGTCAACGTGGTCATTTGTAGTGGGACCTATATCGGTAGACGCGTTCCTTTGGTTGATCTCGTATCTCCTTCCCAAACTTGTCCTAACATTGCTACTTGAGGGGCAATGAGAAACAGTTGCTCATGTATGGTGTAACAGTCTGCAAGATTAGCAAGGCCGATGTCAGACTTTGCGAATCGCGCGATTCGCTACTAGCGATTCGCGCGATTCGCTAGCGTCCGCGGTCGCGTTGCGGTACCAGCCAATTGAGTGATTCACTGGCCGCGACGCGACCGCAGACGCTAGCGAATCCCGCGATTCGCAAAGTCTCGACACGGCCATAGTGGAATAGTGTAGGCAGCAACCTTGGTTAATGTTCAGCCAGGAGTCATAATGTTTTATGTTGCGGTTTCCGGAAAAGCGTTTTTGCTTGCTACGATATAACCTTAGAATTTGAAACCTGATGTTGATTATTCATATCTCTAAGCAAAACACCATTCCATTTGCGCGTTTCAAGAAACACTCATCTCAACCACAAAAGCCCTCTATCACTTCACATGGTCTTGGAACATTGATGAATTTGTTTAGCAAGAATTTTCCATTAAAAAAAAAAAAAAAAAAAAAAAAAAAAAAAAAAAAAAAAAAAAAAAAAAAAAAAAAAAAAAAAAAAAAAAAAAAAAAAAAAAAAAAAAAAAAAAAAAAAAAAAAAAAAAAAAAAAAAAAAAAAAAAAAAAAAAAAAAAAAAAAAAAAAAAAAAAAAAAAAAAAAAAAAAAAAAAAAAAAAAAAAAAAAAAAAAAAAAAAAAAAAAAAAAAAAAAAAAAAAAAAAAAAGAAATTCATTTTTTTTTTATTTTCAAAAAGAATCTCTAGTAGCTTCCAGCTCATCCTCTGAAATCGGGTTAAGATTGTGGGTGCCATGCAACTGCCCCGTTGACTATGGGATTTCACTTCCGCAGTTAGAAATTCTATAAAGCTTTCCGCATAGTAGTTTATGGTGCGCGCTTTGGATGCATTGCTGACTGTTACCTGGATTCCGGCTCGCATAGGTGTACTCAATGTCCGTACTCCCGTTACCGCTATCAAAACGATAGTCGTGTAAGATCAATGATTTGTTTCATTCAGAAGTGGTTCAATGTTTATAATCTTATTATTCTAAAAATGGCTAAATTTTCAATTTTTAGAGCGGAAATGGTTGAAATCGACAAGGCTACGTATCATGCCCTCGATATTTTTGCAGATAGTAAAAAGGCGGAGGTCCTTTCTTGATTTTTTTGCTATTTTAACAATTACTGCCAGGGAAATTTGAAGTATTTTGTTAATTTCACATCTGCCAACGATACAAAGAAAAAATCTTTAGAGAAGTTACCGTCACGGCGCTTCCCACCGCGCTCCGCTGTATCCCTGTTTAGCTTGTGCAATAGATGTAAATCCGGCGTTGGAAAAAATACACTCAGGTATGTCATGTGCCGTGTTGTAGAACCGTTTCTTGTGATTTGGTTGGTGTGCTGTTAGAAGACACGACATCTTTGGTCTACGAAGCTTTTTCTCAATATCTCTGGTTAAACAGCCGCGTTTCTTCCTAAGTTTTGTTTCGTTGGTAAAGTACGAGGTCGGAATATAAATCAGTTTGCTACCCTTCATTGTGGTGGTTGGAGCGGTTTGAGCACCCTTTTATCACAGGAAATGGTTTGAGAGGCCTACTACAAGCCAAGATATTCTGAGCAGTCGACAGCAAGCTGTCTCATATTTTCTGCAGGTGTAGTGAGAGTTTTTTATTGTCAAACTTCCCATACCTATGAAGCGTTCTCTAAAGTTACCAAAATCGGTCGAAATTCTTTAAGGACTGTAACCTGGACATAACCGCAAAAATCTACGGGCTTCTAGGATCCATGAGAAGCATGAGAGTAGGTTAAAACGAACGAATTACAACCAATTGCTCAAGTCATTCACAACGTTTTTCATATTCAGTATATCCTCAACCGCCTGAGGTCTGGTACAGCAAAGGTGAAACACTGGGAAAACCTTTACAAGGTCCGTTTATGAGACGTTCATTTTCATAACTTTATCTATTTCTTTCCACAAATTCAGATGATTTCGAAATGCTGTGTCCATTGGCAGATATATGGAAAGTTTAAGCACAAAGTTATCACTTGTAGAGGATGACATGGGATGTTTTGGTGACACTTTAGCTGAAACAATGGCTGTATTGGGGGCAATGGTTCGTTGGAGGCTCTCTTTGCTTGCTTGTTTCATCTACATCTATCAATCTACATATATCAACCTTGATTTTCAGATTCGACTTTCGCGATTCGCTTGTAGAAAACCGTCTTGTAGTGAATTCCGGTGTTGATCCTGAATTGGATAAAGGTAGCCATGCTTTATGTTTTTATGTTGTTTGCTTTTATGTTCAATCGTTATTATCGATTGTTCCTGCAGTTTTCTTATGTATCATCGTTACTTTAGCGAAAGAACTCTACCGACGGCTGCCTGGAATACTCACGCAAGTTGCACATGACGAATCGAAGCGTCTCCAGGCTGATACTTGTTCGGTGGCCTATGTGCCAATGATTGGATATTTATTAGCTGTACCGTACGACTTCAACGTAGAGCAATTTGATGAGTACGTTTTTACTACGATGGAATATCAAATTATTCTTGCTTCCAAATGCACAACTCTTTTGGAGGAAATCTCAAAAAGTTGCTCAATCGGCGCATGTAGATGGCATACAGCGGGGTAGTTTTGTTATTGGACCATTGTCAAATGTGAGGCATTCTGAGCCAGTTAAGCAAGCATGATCCCTAAAGAAGTGCGAGCCTTTCCAGCTTTTGTAAATTCTGATAAACCACCAGGCTCACAGCTCTTGCAATATTTTGCAGATGGAAATTAATGTGAGAATAGTTTGAAAATAACATGTGCATTATATTTTTTTCCAAATAAACGCAAAGAGTATGAAAAAATGACTTATGCTTGATATTTCTTACATTGCTCTCACACTCTTAATCGAAGTTTATTCCGCTGTTTTTCGATTGTTATTGATTAAGCCTTCAAGTGATCTACTCTACGGATAACACATTGAATGTGAAGAGTGAACGAATGAGAGAACTCGATGAAGAACTGGGCGATGTGAAGATGAAAATAATTGATAAGGAAACTACCATTGCCATCAGGTAAGTTGAATGGTGTATCATCAGTGGGCAAATTGTAGCTGTCAAAACCGAGTCGCGACTGCGAATTGAATTCGACCGCAGCTCACCCAGTGCCGTGATGATGAATATGGTCCTAGACACTTAAAGGCAGTGGACGCGATAGCTGAGAGGCGGATACGAGTCTGACGTGATATCGTGTAAGGGTTCCAGCCGCTAACCAATCTCCCTTGGTCACTAGAAAGACCAGCTTTTCCAACCGTGACGCGCTCTACTCGTCTCCACCTCCCAGCCATCGCGACTGCTGCCGTGAAGTTATTATTGCTCCTTGTACAAAATACTCAGAAACTCATGTTCATTCATGATCTAAAATATCTTTGGAAAAGTTTGAGAATTATTTGCTTTAGAATGTCTTCCCTAATATTATCGCGTTCTGCGCTACTGCTGGGAGTTGAACGCGTTACCATCTTTGTTGGATGCGGCGATTTCGCTTGCACTGACGGCAAGACAATTGGGGTAAGGCTGCTATTCAAGTTCTAGAGAATATTTTGAAGTATTTTGTCATTCGATAGGTAATCATTGATACTTGTATATGTTTTTAGTTTCGTGCCAGTTCATGCCATGCATAATGATGAGAACAATATTTAAGGAGTGCCTATAATATGCGATTAAAAGTCCCTATAAACTTATACCGTTGAAATGTGAAGAGAGAGGTGCCAAATGCTGCGTCTGCAAAAAACAACATAATGGTTAAAAACTTAAGGAAGCAAGAAATGCGCTCTCTTCACTTCGGT